GATCGCCATACAGGATATCAGGGACGCTGTGAAGGACGAAGCCGACGCGGAAGACGGCCCCAACCGCACCACATGGATTTACGTGGCAGCGGGCGGTGACGGGACCTCGGAGTCGCAGAGCGGCGCCTCGCCCAGTTCACCCCTGGCGCGCTGACACAACCTCGGACGTGCTCTGGAGGCTGCGGGACATCCACCTGCCAACATCGGCCAGCATTCCTCACGCACATGCCAACTGGGGCAACTCAGATTCAAACGTTTTGACCAACTGGGGCTTTGTCAACACAGTCATCCTGCATCGCATGGCAGGCACGCTGACGGCCTGCGCAAGCCAGCCATACTCACTGCACGAGCCTTGCGCATGCGTGCGCATGGGCCGCGTTTCGCTCGCAGCAGGCCGACTGTAGATGGTGCCATTGATGTGTACGCGCCGAGGCGTGGGCGTTCACGCAGCGATGCATCATTTTCCAGGCACGGCACGCCAGCAGCTGTTGCCTGTCGCACTGAACACATTGTGGTCGCCTTGCGTCATGACTCTCTTGGGCCCCATCATTGATGACTCATTGACGGCCTCCATCTCTGCACAGCCCCCCATCCCAACACCATCTGGACATTCACCTGCTGCATTATCATGCCAAGCTGTGGCTGCTCAACACTCAGGGCTGCGCTGCTGCCCGTGCGGCATGCAGCACTGCGCATTGCGCATGCCGTTGATTCATACACTGAACACACTGAAGTGACTTTGTGCTCTGCTCGGTGCAGCTGCGCATGGTCGGCACCACAATGTGAGCCGCTGATCCCAAGGTCGTAGTGCGCCACGGCAAGCATCTTGCGGCCCTCCTAGTTGTGGTTGTGGTGGCATGCGAGGTGATGCACGCGACAAGAAGCTTGGCAGCTTCTTGATCCAGGGTATTATGTGGCTGCTGAGCATGCAGCCACTCAACCGGGCACACGAGGACCATGGACCTCTCAGTAAGGGGTGTGCATGGGCACTGCACAGGATTTAATGCATATGACGCGCCGCACTCTGTTGCAAGTTGCGAGGGCTGGTCCTTTTGACAATGTCTTGGGGACGGCAACGCCAGGGAGCAAGCCCAACCTTGAAAGGGCGCTCCTGCCAGTTCTCAACTCAACTCAACCGCGTGTCTTGGCCTTTCCTTGCACCGCAACACCGGTGGGACCCGCCTCTGCCTGGCATCGACACGCTCAAAGCACTTGCAGCACACTGCATGGAATTGCTGTTGGGGTGGTGCGCGTGCTCAAGGTTGCCATGGAGCACCTTTGGGTTTACCTTGTTGGGTGTCTTGCCGGCGGTCCCAAGGCAAGCCTGGCTGGCTGGCAGACCCCTGCATCCCCTGAAACCGCACCATGCCGCACGGCAAGCCCCATTACTTGTTGTTGCAGGGAACATCAACACATCTGCAGCCCTCTCGCCTCAATCAAAGAGGCCTGGCCTGGGCCGGCTGAGTTTGATTTTCTGGCGGCGGCGTTCGTAGTCTGCTTCGTCGGTGCGCTTTAGGATTGACGTTGGTTTGCGACAGTACACCTCGCTTTGAAGCTGTGCTCCAAGGTGCTGGCATTCAACCACATGTTCAGGCCTTCTCCAGCCTGCATTTTCCAAAGTAGCAGAGGGCCTGTTGGCCTGATGTGCATTGTTCGAAGAAGGTTCGTTCGCCCACCTGACGTTTTTTTGTTGTGATGTGTAGATGCAGCAACCGCACCAGCGGGGGATGAGCCGACGCGGAGCCGCAGCTACGCGTGTCGAGCTTTTGGGAGTGCAGAGGTGGGCAGGGGCGTTTGGAGGGCCCAAACACCTTTCATCCGTATCACCAACAGCTGTTGGGGTCATGTAACCTGAGCACGAGTCTCTGGTCAATTAACGACAACCCCTGAAGCAATTGCTTGAGGCAGGCTAGGTGACGCTTACGCCTGGACGCTCGCTTGCGAGTCTATGCATGAGCTGCTGCTGCATGCTGTGTGCTGCGGCATGCTGTCCAGACAGCTGAGCAGTGGCTTCATCAACACTGTGGCTGCAGGCGTTGGTGCATCTCGTTGCAATGGCAGCATCTGGACCTGACGCACTGGCCACGGCTTTGACTGGGCTGCGCAGGTGCACAGGCAGCTAGTTGGGCAGCTAGGATGTCGTGAGCTGATCAGCACGTGCAACGCGCCACATATGATCAGGAGCGCTGGTTGTGTCCATAGGGTTACAAGGTGTGGTTGCCACTCAGCCGCGGCAATGGACCACAGATGACAGCGCAAGCCTGACATTACGGGCAGTCTCACAAAGCAAAAGGGCTGTGTGTGCATGCCATTCTTGATATCAGGTCTACATCGCAAGGTACAGGATGATGGTTCAACACATGACACATGTATGTTTGAGGACAATCACAAAGTCAACATCGTGCAATCAGCCCAGCAGGCCGCCGGTCACGCCACCGAGCAGGCCGCCGGTCAGACCGCCGGTCAGGCCGCCAACAAGGCCGGTGGCCGTGTTGGCGACGCCGCCCACGGTGCCGACCACGCCGCCCAGGGTGTTTGTGACGGTGTTGAGGACAGGGGCGACGACGGGGCCGGCGACGGGGAGGCTGCCCACGACGCCGGTGGCGGTGTTAACAACACCGCCAACCGTGTTGAGCAGGCCGCCCACGGTGCCGCCGACGGTGCCGACTACAGGGCCAACAACGGGGCCGACAACGGGGAGGCCACCAACGGTGTTGCCCACCGTGCCCAGGAGGCCGTTGACGGCGCCGGTGACGGCGCCCAGCTGCTTGAGGTCGCGGGCCGCAAGGGCGGGCGCGGCCAGGAGGAACACGGCCAGGGTGGCCACGGAGAGGATGCGAGCCATTGTGAAGGGTGAGGTGGTGAAGCCTGTGCGTGTTGGGGAGCAGGAAGTAGGGGGCAGAGCGTTGAAACAACAGCTGAGGTCGTGTCGCAGGATGGGGGGGGGCGGGGTTGTGGTGTATGGGGCGGAAGCGCACAAAGTTTTGCCTGAAGCCTGATCTGATGCTTAGTACGATCGCTTCGAGCACCATGTAACATCCCAGACGACTGTGCCCACCTGAGGAGCGGGAGCGATGGACTGGGTAGGCGTGGGTGGGCGTGGTGGATGAAAATGGTAGAAATTAATACGCGTTTTATACTCGTAGCGGTGCTTACCAAGCTTCCCGGCCCCCAGATTCTGACCACGCTTCGTGACACACCGACAAGGCCTTTGTCACGGGAGGGGTGGCCGGACGGCGTGGCCCTCCATAGACCGGGTTGGCACCTGTGTGGAATTCAATGTTTCTGTCAGACGCGGGTATGTGCGGCTATAGGCGGCACGCGGCGAGCTGTGGCAATGTGTTTCTACGCCTGTCTCAGGGCATGAGCAGCCGTCCCTTTCGATTACCCCCAGCATCGAGCCCAGTGGGGGGTCCGTATGGCTGTGTTATTGCGGTGAAGTACACAATAGAATGCTGACATCAAAGCAAACCCCTCATATAAGGCCAGCGCTGTGCATGTCACCTAGCGCAGCAGCGGGAGCCAGGGCGGGAAGACTTGGGCGGACCATCCGACACAGACTGCGCCGTAAGACCATGGCGCTTGTGTCAGTGTTGGCAGGGCCCGCGCTCCCCCCATTCTACAACCAATCTGCAGATTCCTCTATATGATTGTGACTGGGTGCTGCAGGCGCCCCTCGATCCGGACCGTCTTTGGACTGCGCAGTTGGACTTGATTATCAAGCGTGCAGCTGCGCCGGACAGGCGCTCACCCTTGCGTATGCTGACCCCCGTGTGGGCGTGCTCGGAGATACTGGGGTGGCTGGAATGCTGGATCCATCGTGTCACGAAAGTTTGTGATTCAAAGTGAGAGCATCCCTCGGTCACCCTCAACTTCTAGTCGGTCATCACCATCTCACTGGGGTGGCGCCGTGGCAAGCGGCAATCAGCAGCGTGCACAAAGCGAGTGGGGGATCTCCGAAGTAACCGCCCTACTGGGACTCGTATGATAAATCACCTGAGCGCACCTGGGTGCAATCAACACCAGGGGATGTGTGTGTGCGTGCCGGCCATCGCAATCGAGTTGCGGCGGGCAGCTCACACTACAGGAAGATGTGGTCACTAGTGGTTGTCACACTGGTGACCCAGGCGCCGTTCCGCGTAATTGTTGTAATGTGGAGGAGTGCCTGAGCGGGCGCGCTCAACACTCATGCACTCTGCACCCGCATGTAGAACAGCACCCTCACGATGCAGCGGGCGAGTGACGGTGTTGGCCAAGCTGGGCGGTGGCAGCAGCAGCAGCAGCAGCAGCAGCAGCAGCAGCAGCAGCAGCGGCGGCAATAGCACATCCCAAAGCTACAGCAATGTGGTGATGTCTATGCGACGGCCACGTGTTTTCAAAACACCTCCAACCAATCTTCTCGCCCACCTCACACTTGCACTTTGTGTCAGCTTTTGGCATGGGCAGGGCAGCCTGGCAGCCCCAAAGCAGCAAGCTGATGGTCCTGGTCACTTGGCAACTAGAAGCCTCTTTTGGCGACCATTGATGCGACCACATGGTGGGCTGCTGGCCATGCATGCAGGGCTGTTATTCTTATACATCAGGATGACGGTCTAGGGGGGCAACTATGTGCGAGTGACTTGTGCAGTTTAACGTTTGCCTTGCAGCAGGCCAGCAGAGGTGCGAGCACGGCAGGTGCCGCGGGGGGCGGGCGCTAGGCGTGACACTTCAACACTGGCAGCTTGCTGCCCACCCCCGCTGGCAGCGAGTCATTCCGCCTATATTTGTGAAAAATAAATCTTATCTCCACTTTTCGATAGCATAAACGCTGTACCTCATAATTTGGACTGTAGCTGTTCCCCGCGGGCGGTTGTCAATCGCAGTGCGATCAAAGCCCGCGGCTGAAAACGCACAGTGATCGTGAAGTAGAAACACAGAATTCGAGTATGAATTGGAAACACCGAACACCAAGGAGCACCATGCTGTTGCTCTGTTGCGCGGCGGCAGTGCTCTGGGCGAACATGGCGCAAGCTGATATTAGCAGGGTGCGGGCGGCAAGTGCTGTGGTTGACCGGGTGATAGCAATTGATACAACTTGGCTACTACAAATTTGAAGCATGATGGAAAGGGACTGTGGGTGAACACGTCACGACAGACATTGCCAGGACCCCCTGCCCTATCGCCAACGCACAGGTCGCCGCCGCCGCAGCCTGCCGCAGCGAGTGGCAGATCGTTCTTTGCAGCGACATCCCGGTGAACGCCACCAAGCGCCTCGCCGCCTGCTGCAGCGCAAACAGGCCGCTGCCGGCGGCCGCGGCGGCGATGGTCTATGCGGCGGCGCTGCAGCAGAAGGGTGCGGCGCAAGAGGTGTCCCGCCCAGATCTGGCGGTGATGGAGGCGGGCGGGCCGTTCAGCGGTGCCATCGACTGGCGCTTTGGCGAGTGCCTGACAGCTGCGTCGGCGGATGTCCCAGTGTTTACACAAGACGAAGCTGGTGGCACGCAAGTAAGCGGTTCTTACAAGGGGACAATGAAGCGATGGTGCCACGCAAGTGCGCTTTTGCGATCAGGGCCGCCCTGAATCAACGCCAACGCCAACATAAATCGTGCGCATTAACGCTCGACAGCCGTCCACAATGCCTGGGCGCTTACTCCATTGCGACCGCCACAGGTGAAGGTTGTCTCGCAGCAGGTGCCGCCCCTGACTCGCGACCTGATACGAGCTGTCAAGCGGAAAGCCCTGGAGCTTTCCACCCCCCCACACCGCAACCGCGTGGCGGCTCTGCAGAGCGGCGGCAGCGAGAGTAGCAGCGGCGACAGCGGGTCTGGCGCCAGCAAAGGGAAATCCAGTGGCACTGGGGCGGCGCCCTTTGCGCATCCTGGCGGCTACGCGGGTGCGGGAGAGCTTGGAACTCTGCAGTGGAGGCTGGAGCAGCAGGCGCCCCTTCAGGCGGCGGCTCGCGACAGTCTGTTGACGGTAGGTGCAAGGAATTGCCAATTTGGGGTTGAGGGTGCTACTATTGGGTTTCGGGACTTGTTGTGGAATCGATTGTTCTTCTACCAGGGTTAACCACACACTGCAAGCGTGCCTGAAGTGAGCGAGGAGCACGCCACAGCACAACCCACGACGCGGCCATTTGGCACGCTCGTGGCGTTGTGCCACGTGCTCCAACCATTGCCCTGCGCCGCAGGGCCGTTGGGTGCCGCGCAACGTGAAGGGCAGCAGCGGCTGGCACCCGCCAACAGACACGCCGGCGGAGGGCTACGGCGGCCCTTATCCGATGGAGGTGCTGCGTGTGGACATTGGTGAGGGCGATTGTACGCTGATGTCACTTGTCGAAGGCACCCGGGAGCAGGTTGCTGGCATACATGACATAGGTTGCTGGCGCTTGGCCACTGACGTTCACAAGGCTGCTTGCTTTGTAGTCGAAGCAGGAAAGTTTCAAGTTGTTGCGAGTGCCCAGCAACACCCCCTCTTGCTGGGATGCTCGCAGGCGGCATCATTGCCAACACCTCCACCTGCCCGGCCGCCTACCCCACTGGCGCGCCCCTGGCTCAGTGCGGCCACACTGCATTTGTCGAGCTTGATGGAACCATGGCGTACAAATCAGCGCTCGCCTACGTCGCGACCGGCGATGCACGGCACGCCGCCCAGGCAGCCGCCATTCTCACAGCTTGGAGCACCAAAAATCGTGAATTTGGGGTGAAGACGACCAATGGGCCGCTCGAGGCGGCGTGGTGCGTTTCTTCCAGTGATGAGGTTGGGATGTGGGGGAGGGGACAGGCGTGTCACAATGGGCAAGGGGCGCCCGCGACGGTGGCTGCGTCCTCGATGCAGGGTGCGGCCGCTCGGTTGCATTGCCTTGTGTATGCACATGCACGCACTGGGCTTGCCCTGCGTCATCGCGCTCCGGCTTGCCAACTGCTGACGCTGGAAGCCTCAACTCACGCGCCACCACTGGTCGCAGGGGCTGCGCGGCAATGTCCAGGGCGATGGAGGTGCTGCGCGCGTCGTGGCCAGGGTTCCGGCAGTCGGACCTGAGCGCGTTTGTGGCGTGGGCGAACGCGCGGCTCATGCCAAACGTCGACTATTTTGCATATGTCATGTCGGCCTACCCAAAGGGCTCGGACACGCGCAAGCTGATGTGAGCTAGCATGCAGTTCCTGCTTGCTGGGCAGATTTGCAGGCCAGCAGCTTTCTTTTGGATAACCGGTGGGCGGTGTCAAGCACTTGACAAGACAACTAGGTGGGGATGCAAGGTTGAGAGTTGACTTGAGAATCTGGGTGGTCGGGCCGCCCACTGCGCTCCAGCAATGCAAAACAAGCACACAAACAGGATTCGGCCTACATGTGCAACTGAATAAACCTGATCCGTGCATGCGCCGCCCCGACTGGCCCTCTTGAACCCCCTGCCAGGTACGGCAACTGGCATGCCGCCTGCGCCGACTGCATGGTCGCGCTTGGTGTGCTGTCGGACGACAGGGCGCGGTACGACAAGGGCGTCGAGCTGTACCGCGCCACAGTGAACTCCTACCTCAAGTGGGGCCGCGGCGAATACGCGGCCGGACGGATTCTTGGGGAATCCACTGAGACTTTCAGAGACATATACCACACGCTGTTTGGCCTGGGCAGCCTGGTGCAGGCGGCCGAGGCAGCGTGGGCGCAAGATACGGACGAGTACGGGGCGAACGGCTACGCTCTGGCATCGGCGCTGGAGTTGCACGCGCGCATCGTGAACGCGTGGGACAAGCGCGACGCGTCCATGCTGCCCGGCGGCTTCAAGCTCTTCTCGTCAATGCCCGCCGCGCCTGCGGGGTGCGCGTGGCGGTGGGGGCCGGAGACGCAGCGGTGGGCGTCTTTCAACGCGACGAGCGGGGCCAAGTGCTCCGACCTGGCGGGCGGGGCCAAGTACGTCCTTGGTGCCAAGTGAGTGTGGTCAATTGTTTTATGGCTGAACCCGGTCCGAACCAAGGGTAAAGGGCCCCCTGGGCGCGCGGAATCACGAATCGTGGACCCTTTGTCGGAGGCCATGCCTGCTCAGAAAGCTGTGCACAGCGTGGCGCCTGGGCAAGCTGAGGCCAGCAAATCAACCACCCTTCACCCACCCTACGCACCAGGTACTTGCCAACCGGCTTCGAGATTGGGTACAATCACTATGTGGGTCGGTTGGGCATGAAATTGCCCGAAACCGCCGCCCTATTGGTGCGCTACCCTGTAGACTATCAGGAGTTCAGCTGGGGCCTTGCCACACTGACGCACGCAGGCAGCGCGGCAGCGCTGTGGAGGCCGGGCGTCACGCGGGACGTGCTCTGCGGAGGGCCGCCGCCGCCGCCGCCGCCTGTGGCCCCCAGCCCGCCGTCGATTGCCGTCCGGACGCCGTGGTTTTCGTTCAACTTACCCTTGCCGCCAATATTGTCCTTCTTTGGATAGCGGGGTGGCTAAAACAAGCGTTGGAGCGTATTCATGTACTTGGAACTTGGCACAACTTGAGTTTCCATTGCGGAGTCCAAGCAGGCTTGGAGAGTGATTGCGCCGCGCGCTTGTACTGTACGATAAAATCACGCACTCCTTGTCAAGCCAATCACTTCATGGTTATCACACCCCATGTGCCTTCCCCACATACATGCGCCTTTGAGTACACCTTATTTGCATGAAATTGGCTTGACATGTGGCGCCACGCTGCATATCAGTTGTGGCTCTTGCTCAACCAACAAATGATTCGGCTTGTCATCAAACTATCTAGCAGCAGTCACACCATCGTGGTGAGCCTTCCATCACGCTCATGGTAACACAACACAAACTCACCCATCGCGTACTTTTGGAGAATTCGCCTTAGCCCTGCACGATGCATCTTGCTGGTTCTCCGATGACGTGCTCTATTGCATGCCGCTGGCACCATCAGCTGTAGTGCGGCACCGGCGGGTGGCGCAAAACAACAGACATTGCAGCAGGTGCCGATGTGTATGTGATAGCTGGCGTCCAATCAGTAGCACAGACTTCATATTGGCAAAGCGAATTCACTCGACTGTTGACTTGTTCGATCATCTATAGATCTGTTATCATGGCTCCGTCCCTGTTGCAGTCGATCGTGCTGTCGGCCATTTCGATGACGATGGCATCGGCAGTGTTCTACCACTTTAACTTCAACCTGCAGGCATACATGGAGCCGCTGAAGGTGCGGTTGGCGCAGCAGCAGCAGCGCACCATGTGGGGATGCGCACATGTGCCACCCAGTGCGGTGGTTGCACGTTACAGCACACTCGGGGTCCTTACTGGGGCCAATCACGAGCAACGGATTCATTGTTGTCAACCATGCAGCCACCAGCATCACAGATGTCGAACGCTCGCAGCTGGCAGGCTCGCTCCACGGCGCCGCGCCGTGTCTCGCGTTGCATTGTAATCGGACTGCCCCCCTGCCCCCTTGGCCACCCCACCAACGCCCACCCGCAGGACGCGTGCGGCCTCAACGGGTCGCCCGCGACGGCGCCCCCGCCGCACCTGAAGCTGGGCAACTCGTTCCTGGACGGGTTCCACTGCATCCTGACGCCCTTCTTCCTGGACTGCGTGTCCACCCCCGCCGGCCGCTTCTTCGTGAGCCACGCGGCGGCGCGCCTCTCCCCTTCGTACCCCTCTGCGACGCCTCTGGTTTCCATGTCATGTGTGCGCAAGGACAACGAAAGGACAACGCAGGGACAACGCCGGAGTGAATGCATGGCATTCTCTGGGTTGGCAGGGTGACTCCGCAAACCACCCGCGAACTGAACACCCCATAAGAACCTGGCTCGAACCTCACCGACCCCAGGTCTTGAAAACCCTGGAGGTCGCGATCGCGTTCATGGCCGTCATGGGCATCGAAGACTGCCGCTCCTCCGCCCGCGGGCTCGTGAAGGGCTCTGCCGTGGTGCTGGCCGTCTCGCAGCTGCTGGGCATCAGCGTGGCGCTGCCCTTCCTGTGGGTGCCTTCGTACCTGCTGCTCACGCGGCGCAGGGTCGAGGGCGCCTTCCTGCCAGCCGGCAAGGTGGGCTGGGGCATGCGGGCGGGCGTGCCGGCGGTCGTACATGGTGGCTGCAGCCCGCGCGCGGCGCGGCGGCCGATCACGAGCGGGGAGTGGGGGTGCGCGCCTTGTTGGAGCTGCCGACATGAGCGGGGGTGCCGCAGGTGACCTGGATGTGCGCCCCTCTTGCAAATACACTTCAAAACTTATGTCAGCACCATCAACCAGAAACGCTCTTATCTCCGCCTGCCCAGATGCCGGCCATCGGGCTGGCCTGCGCACTGGCCGCCGTCCTCACGGCACCGCTCGTCCTGGCCCGGCTGCTGCCCGAGGCGTCCCAGCTGCAGGCGAGCCCCGGCCTTGCGCGTCACGTCTGCAGGCGCCGGCGCCGCGCAGCGGCACGTGCGCCGCCCTCCAGTCAGCAGCTGCTGCGCAAGCCGCTGTTGCAGAGAACGGCTGTGCTGTTGGGCAAACACACTGTCGAGTATGCAGCTGCTCGCCCCGGGTACAACGTTGCCCCTCTCAGCAGTGCACCGGGGACACTCACTTCTGTTGACCCCCCAGCGCCTCATCCAACTCCTGAGGTACTCTCACCGCACCGCTCCCTGCCCCATACCGCCGGTCAAACGCCCCACCAGGTGGTGGTCAACTTCAACCTCCTGCTGCCCTGCCTGGCGCTCCTCTGGATGGTCTCCCCTGGCGGCCGCCAGCCCGGCAACGCGGCCGCCGCCTCGACGCTGCGCTTCGCGGCGCTCGTGGGCTTCATCATGCATGCGGCCGCGGCGGCCGACCTCCTCCTCGCCCACGAGCTGGACGCGCGCGCCGCATGGCGGTCGCTGGCCGCGGTGGCTGCCAAGCGGGACTCCCGCATCATGCCGGCCAACTTCATGATGTTTGACTTCCTGGGACTCCTGGGCGCGGCGGTGATCTTCGCGGCCGCCGAGTGCGGCGTCGTCAAGGCCGCCGGCGTGCTGGTCAAGGGGCTGGCCGTCGGCCCCGGCGCCGCGTTTGCGCTGGCGGCCGCGCGGCGCGAGGAGCGGCTGGCGGCGGGGGCGGCCCAGGAGCCGCCGAAGGTGGAGCCGACGCGGCCGGTGTACCTGCCGCCGCGCAACGTGAAGAGGGGGAAGGACGACTGATGGCAGCGAACAAAGCAGCGTAGTGCGGGTGCGCCGGCTCTTCGGGATGGTGCCTGTGTTTATTTGTATGCTTTTCCTTCCAGCAAAAGCCCTTGACACTTGGCAGCACTTGTGTTGACGGTTATGTGAACTGGCCAGCATTGACCTGGCCGCTGTAACACTGAACTATTCGCCCTGCCACTTGGAGCGTCGAGCAACGTTTGTGCACGAGGCGCAACGTGGGAGTGCTGACCTCAGCTCAAGCTGCCCTTGGGCAGCTGCACTGGTGGTCTTGCAAAGGATTGCCCACCCTGTCACCAACGCAGCCTCCAAATGTGATTTGCACTGGCAGCGCGCTGTTATGAACATGTATAGAATGCCGCACTGTCGAAGCTCGCCTTTTCAAACGTGTGCACGAACGGACATTGCAAAATGCTGTGCCATTCGCGCATTGCAAATCAACTACTGTAATTACGCATGATAGTATGAACACGGGATGATGAGCTGCGACAGTAGCACTGGCGCGGCCGCAAGCGCTCCGAGCGCAAGCAGCGGCAGCGCCAGCCCCGGCAGCAATCCACAGTCAGCGGCGTTAGGTTTTGTTCCAAACCCGTACTCGTTGCACGGCGCAGAGGCCACCACGCAGGCAGTGCGTGCGGATATCAGGCAAGCGCACGCGCAGAGCGCGCCTGACGCTGCGCTTGCTTTCCAGTCCGCGCGCCGAGCCTGCTCCTGTATACTGCAGTCCGCAGTCTGCCGTCCCTGTGCGGCATCATGCATGCGTACAAACTTGCACTCAACCCCTCCCTTTTCAACCTCCAGGGCCGTTCTGGCCAGCTCTCATGAGCTGCGGGAGCTCTACCGCCCCGCGCCCCGCATCTCGCAGCGCCACCTGGCCGAGATCGCCAAACCCAAGGCACTCGCCGCCCAGGAGCGCGCCGAGCGCGTCCCACTTTCTGACCCATCATGCTTCGCCGCGTGGAAAGCGGCGCAGCTGAGGCGGCGGCGGGCGGCGGAGGAGGGGCGGCGGCGGACCGAGGCGCGGCAGCAGGCGGCGCGGGAGGAGGCGCTCTGCGCGTGGCGGGCGGAGCGCCAGCGGGTGAGCTGGTGGACCGCAGCGTTACAGGCCAAACTGCAGCCATGCATACGCGTTTGTGCCAATAATGCGGTGTTCTCCCTGTTTCCTGGACACTGCCAAAAATCATGCGCTCTGCACGCACATGGGCCCACAGGAGAGCGAGCTGGCCACCATGCGCCGCGAGCAGGACAGCCATGCTGCGAACATGCGCGCCGCGGAGGCGGCAGCCGCTGTGGCTGACCTGGCAAAGCAGCGGCTGGCGTGGTTTGCAACGGAGCAGCAGCGGCGGCGCGCCATGGCATCGGCGCTGCACGCAACTCGCACGTCGGCCTTCACCTGTGACGGGTGCCCCTGCCCAGCCCCGCCGTGTTCGCAGGCGGCCCGCTCCCCTCAAGCTGATCGGCAAGCCGCTGCTCATGCGCAGGGCTGACAATCTGGGCCCTACAGCTCTCGCGAGAGTAAATAACAGGCGCTGCCAAGGAAACCGCATGCTTCTGTATTGACCACATCCCTCAAAGCCCTCATGGCCCTCCGCCTCTCCCCACAATGTCTGCGTCTCTCTCGGTGTAAATAACACAGGTTTTTGTTGTCCACTCTCAGTCGCTCCACGCCCAAAAAAACATGCGCCGCTCACGCAGGCAGACCGAACCAAGCCGCCCTTCAATCGCAGGGAAAGCCCAGAAGAGGCGGCCGCGAAAACTGCGGAGCTTGGCGACACCACTTCAGCGACCCCCCGCGCCTCCCGCCGCCACCCGCTGCTGCTTCATGCTGCTGCTGCCCCTGCCGCTGCTGCTGCTGCCGCGCTCACTTGAAGAGGGAGGAGATGTTGTCGGCGGAGAAGAACGCCTTGAACTGCGGGGCGAGAGTGCGACGACGGGCTTCGAAGGGGGTTTCACCATTGCAAATCAGGGACAAGACAGCATGCAGCCCAGCCTGTGCTGACTGATGGTGATGGACACAGAAGTAACAGTGTACAGCAGCCCCTAATCCACACAATATACAAGTGCCTGCCTGCCACACAGATTACGGAATTCACGCCCCTGAAACAGGGAATGACAGCACAGTGCTGCTCACCCTGTCCAGGGGCTGCGCGGTGATCTCGCTCTCCGGGGGCAGGATGGTGAGGTTGTCAGGCTTCGACCAGTCCTTGGGGTTGGCCTTGTCCTGGGTGGGGTCAGCACGACGCAGCATGACGTGATGCTGTCAGTGCCGCACCCTCTCGTGCATGGGCGAGCGCATGCGTACTTGGGCTGCAGCGTACACCCGTGCTTGTGCGCGGGGGCGTACATGTGCGCTCGCATGCTGTGACTTTGCTGCAATGTGCAAGTGCGGCGCATGCATGGCCGTCACCAGATGCCGTGCCCATGTCCACCACTCTCACCCTGATCTTCATCGCGAACTCAAAGTCCGCGGCGGGAACGTTCAGCAACGGCTCCATCACCTTGGGGCCGCCCATGCGGATCTGAGGGGCGGCCATGGGCAGGTGGGAATGGGGTGGAGTTGACGTTGGCGTGACACCTGCCATTTCCCCCAACGGGCGAAGGTACGTGAATGTGTGAGCAGAGGCATTGCCCCACATAGGGGATTGCACGGGCATCCAATCAGCACCGCTGTCGGACGCTCGGGCGTGCTCTTGTGGATAACGCTGCCTCGCGCGTCCCCGTCACCGCCTCTGCTGCACCCGACAGGCCCTCTCCGCCTCATCATGCCTGGCTGACTGCTGCCTGCAAACAGGTGTCCAGAAAAGCTGCTTGCTTGCCGTGCTCGCCGACTGGACCTGGCACCCTCTCGCCCACCCGCTTTGCAGCTGGCCGTTCTCCTGGCACGCATGCCGCATGCTGCCTGCCACACCCATAGGCGCCACACCCATCCCCTGCCAGCGCAATTCCCCCATCCTCTGCAAAGTTCAAGCCCACACGTGTCCTCCCGCCTGGCAGCGCCTTCACCCCGCCTGCCAGACTCGATACGAGCGCGCCCTCACGCGCCGTGCGCCCGCACACCTGCACCCCCGCACCTGCTGCCGCACGCTGTCCCTGAGGCCCTTGAGGATCGCGTCCCGCTCCTTGTAGATGGACCCCGCAATGTTGGACAGCAGCGTGCGCGCGTACAGCTTGCGCCCCCACTCAGTGGCCATGCCCTTGACGAGCAGGTTGGCGCTGGAGCCGCCCTTCACCACCGACATGTTCATCCACTGCTGGTAGGACTGGGTTTCCGGTGCGTGGGGCCGGGGACGGGTCGCGCGAGGCGTGGTAGTAGAGGAGGTCAGCATGGTCTGATGACACTATTGGAGCGGCCGGAGGGCGTGGCAGCAGCGCCGCACCAGTCAAACGCGGTCAATGGCGAAGCATCCGGCGGAAAAAATGCACATTCGCGCGTGCGTCTCAGGCACTCACCCCGCTGGTGGCGCGGATGAAGATGACAAACTCCTCGTTCTCCGGGTCCACCGGTGGGATGGACTGCACCTGTGGAATGGAAAAACACCGGGCATGCGGAGCTGGGTGTTCGTGTGGTGGGCGCGGCAAGCAGCAAGCAGCGCGCACAATGCACGCAAGCGAGCGGCGGCAGCACAGCACAAGGCGGTCAGCTGGGCGTGGGAAGATACCCACCATCTGCGATTGAAGCTGCTGCGGGTTGGCCACCGACTGCCTGAAGCGGCCCTTTCCCTTGCCAGCGTGCACCTGCGACGAGAGGCGTCTTCGTCGGCCATTGTCATCGCGAAATATCAGCGGCAATAGAGCGTTTCTTACCTGCACTCTGCGAGCCCTGCTGCTGCTGGAGACCGGCGCCACGGTGAAGGGGACCATCCTGCACCACAGAGCGAAACGTCAGCACGGGGCCGTTCATGGCCTCTGTGTCGTTTCATAGCATAACTGATAATCACCTGGCGCTGCCAGTGCGGCCATTGTGCTGGGCGCTAAGCGCCTGCCCGCGGACGAGCTGCATCGCTGCTGTATGGAGGAGCAGACGGATGCGGACGACCAGATGTAGGGCGCCTCGAATGTCAGGATGATGCCTTCGATGTATGATGCTCCTGCAATTTGTCGGCGGGCAATGCATCGCCACGATCCTGTTGCGAGCCTCGCACTGAGTGTGCAGCTGCCACAGCAACGATGCGCGCATTGAGCTGCCCTGCAAGCACTGCAGAGCTTTTGGTGCAGTGTCAATCAGTGTGCTGAATTGATTACATCGACGTGTGCCAGCATGGCCGGTTGATGGCGGGATCAGAACAAGTCAACCGTTGACCGCCCTTGGCCAGATGGCTGAGCTGCTATCACGGTCATCGATCAATTGGCACAAGGTTTCAGCAACCCCGACTGCAACGATGTGTCAATTTTATGTTGCATCACAGCACTCCAAGGAAACTGCACTGAGGTAAGGGGACTGCTGGTACTAACGCGATGCCCAGGTCACTCCTTGTGCAGGAGTTGCACAACGAATTAGCGCCAACTCCAGGCCCAACCCCTTGCACAACTCCAACAGCAGATTCTCATCGAGTCCACTCATGTGCATCCTGCAACATGATTTGACACACGGTGTGCGCCTGAAGTTGTGCCGTTTGCGCCACTGCAGTCTCTGCATCAATATGCAGGACTGCACGAGTGCACTGCTGCGAACCCACCCCGGCCAACTGGCAACATTATGCATGTGAGGGTCCCTCCCAAACAAGCTCACAGGTTGATTTGAGGCTCGACTGCGCCCATGGCACGTCTCATGCGTATGTTGCCTTGCTTCTCTGTTGGTTCAGTAGATGTCGTCCTCTGGAGGTTTTGTTTTCAGCAGCAGGGCAGTGTGGTTGTGGGGCAGACAGTGGGTGTTGAATAGAGTGTGCATGAGGCGTGTGCGATGGTGGGTGCACAGACGGCATGATGGGTGGGTGGTCACAGAAGGTGTGACCACCAGTCAAAATCGCAACGGGCAGCAAAGCGATACCAGCGCAGAGCAAAAAAGGGCGCTCATTCTCAATCCGGGCGACTTGCACCGAGCCGGGTACACTGCTCAACAGCTGCAGGGGTGCTCGGCCGAGGCGATCGCACTGCACCACCACCTCCCACTGCACCAGATGTTGCATCATCAGTCATACACTCTCTGTATGGAATCCTGGGCTCCACTGCTGCCACGTTTCACTGCAATGCAATGCTGACTAAGTGCATGTGCTGTGTGTGCTCACCACCCTGCCGGGTGCGTGGGTGGCCCGACGCGTAGGCAGCGGCCGCCATGAGGGCAGCGATGCTGACAAGGGCCAGACCGGCAATTTGACACTATTCATCCCCGGGGTTCGCATTTCCAAGCCACCAGGCCACCTTGGCAAATTAGTTCAGGATGTGGAGGGTGTGCGCGCTGTGGGCTGCGTGGAAGGGTGGTGCGAGGGACCGATGCTGAATCTGCAGCTGGAGAAATCATTTCGCGGGTAGACGATCAGGCTAGAGCTGTGAAAGTGGCGCTATCAGCCACTGAGCAGGCAGGTTGGTGCGTGCGTCTTGCAACTGAGTGCAGGGGTGTTGCTCACCCCGTCCACCACTACTCCCCTGTTAGCGACGTGCAGCAGAGTCGCCTGCCATAGCAGCGACTCTGCTGCACGTCGCTGACAGGGGAGTGGTGGATGGGGCCGGCGATGAAGGCATTCATGTCCCCTCGCCTCCCCACTTCCAATCCACTGAAAAACATGCAATTGTTACAACAGGTGGCGCAAGCGCAAGTGCCCCACCTCAGGCGGTCACAATCAAACGCCTGAATCGCGCACGCAGTGAAGCAGCTGGATTGCTTGATGAGCCACAGCGGAGGTTGCAGAAAGCATCATGCAGGTGGTCAATCGCCTGAAGTAGATGCATCGCAAGCACGGGTGACTGCCGCTCTGCCATTTTCACAGCATTCTGGATTGAAGCAAGGGCCCATGTTGCACGCTCGCCCCTGTGGAGGAGCGCGAAGGCGCAAGAAGAGCGCCATACGACGTGGGGCGCGAGAAGCGCACAGCATTGAGCTCGCATCCAAGTCCCCACCTGCAGCCACGCGCCATCGTGCCACGCAACCTGCAGCGGCACGCAGGTTCTACGCAAAGGAGCTTGGACCGCCTGGTGACGAGTGATACGAGCCATGCCCTCGCCCAGGGGGCAAAGCGGACGCTCCACAACCAGAGACAATGAATGCGTGCGCACGGCGCCGCACATGAGGTGGGCAAGAACTACGCCTCGCAGCCCACAAGAACACCACTCACTCCTGCTGGCGTACGTGTGTGGTGAGATCGGGTGACCCTCAAGCCGGGTGCGTTGGGCCGACACCAAAATCAATTGTACTAGTCGTCATGTGCGAGGGTAAACAGGCCGGAGGCGCGCTCTGTCTGCGTCGGATACTGGAGAGGCTTGATTCATGTGCCGCAGCGCAGCGGAGCAAGAATGCACAAGTTAAAAACGCCCTGAGCGCCCGCTTGAAGGAAGCGCTTCACAAAGGGCCTCGTACGCGTGGCCAGAGGGCCAGGCAAGAAAAGGTGCAACTCCCTCAAGCGGGCAAGCGCACAAGGACTCGCTAGCCTGCCAGCCATATCAGCAGGCACAAAAGCACACAAACCCGTTGACAGCTGCCTCACCCGTGTATGACAAATGCACATGCAGGTGTGTGACCGTCAAAAGTGTAGCATCACCCTTCGCAGCTGCAACGTGTGGACTGCGTGACCACCACACTTCGCACAAGCAGACCGCTCTCAAGTGCAGCGCCAGGCACTTCCGGTGGCGCTGCAGCAGCAGGGGAGCCCGTAAGACTCAATGTTGGCTGCAAATCACGCGCGAAACAGCCTCTCGCTCCTGCGCAGTACGGGGAGCAACACAGACGCGCTGCAAACCAGTACGCATCTGCCTGCGCGGTCTGGTGCGCAGGGTGTTGATTAAATGGCTCCAGGACGCCGCTTTCGAGCGCTTCCTGGGCGCTTGGAAAGAGGCGAGTGCCGCCGCCAACGCCTAGGCCTTCTTGAGGACCGGCTCCAGGTCGTACGGCTCGAAGGCCCCCTCCTCCTCGAGCCGCTGCGCATAGTGCGCCCCCAGCCGCACGATCTTCTTCAGCTCAGAGTACTCCTTGAGCTTCCAGGGGTTGAGAGGACAGAGGGGGGCAAGACGCGTGCGTGATCGTGGCGGGTGGTGCAGAGGGAGGTCTCGGGGTCAGGGGAGTGTGCGGTCGAGCATTATAGGTAGGGGCCGATTCACAAGTGACTGCTGCGGGTGCGTGGATTGCGGCACCGTGCAGAGGCCGCGAACAGGCGTGTCCCAACAACCCCCGCCCCCCAACAGCGCTCCTCGCGGCAGCCGCCCGATGGCCGCCGTGTCATGGCCCCTGCCTGCCCGCGCCCGCGACCGCGCACGCGCCTGCGCTCGCGCCGGTGCTGACAGGTCGACCCACCTGCAGCATGTCCATGCGGCCGTTGCGCACTATGTTGGGGTCGTGAAAGTAGTCAAACACCAGGGCGCCCCCGCGCTGCCGGTGCAGGAGAACGGGCCCAAGGCAGGGCGCGAGAGCAGTGAGCGTGCGATGTGTAGTGCAAGTGCAGGTGCGGCCCGAGCGTGGAGGGGAGGGAGGTCAAGACGGCTGTCAGGTTGAAAGGAGTCCGGCACACGCAACACGCCTGTGTGGACTGCGGTGGCCGGCCGCGACACGCGTGGATCAGAAACTGGCACACGTCGGCGAGGGGCAGCTACGCAGCGCGCAAGCAGGCGGGCGGGGGGAGGCCCTACCAACAAGTAGGGCGAGTTCTCATTGGTAAAGAAGTCGGGGAAGGACCCGTCGACGCACTTTGCGCCCCGCAGGCGGCGGCTAATCTTCAGGTCCAGCAGCAGGGGTACGTGGGCGCTGGCCATGCAGCAGTTGATGAGGTCCTCCTGTTGTTGTTGACAACCCAAATGTAAGGCGATTGTGAGGCGAGCAGCGGGTGGGCAAGGAGAGGGCGAGGCGGTTTTGAACACATGGCTGGAAGGCCCACCAGTGCGCGGCCTGACGCCCCTCGCACAAGCCGCAGTCCACCCAAAGGCAGCCAGCAAGCCGCGCCACCAGCTCTTAACCCCCCCCCCCTACCGGGCCCCTGGGGCGCCGCTTCTCTCACTCCCCCGTCCCAGCATCATCCCCACCCCCCAAAACACACATACGGCACACGTGCAGGTGTGCACGTGTGCGCGCGCGCCCACCTTGCTCTCGTACTCCTCAATCAGCTCCTGCCTGCAGCTCGGCAGCCGCGTCACCACCACGCCCAGCCCGCCGCTGCACCGCTCCGCTGCGTCCTCCGGAAGCAGCTGCCCCAGCCACGCCTCTATGATGCGGCCCCACACCCCGACCAGCCCCAGGGGCCGCTCCCAGATGTTATGGTCCAATGAGAGCTGGTAGGCCGACTCAGTCACGACCTCGGGGTCGACGCCGCAGCGCGCCAGGACGGCGCAGAGGGCGCCGCCGCTGGCGCCCGCCATGGGCACGCGGGTCAGGTCAAAGCGCGAGGCGAGGTGCTGCATCGCGCCGAGCTGCCACCTGGCGACACGGGGAAGGGGGGAGGGGGCCGGCGGGGCGTGCCAACAGAAGGTTGTAGCCTCAAGCAGGGCGCACGAAAAATTGCGAAGCGCTCACCCCTGGGGCGGGGCCAATGTCAGAGTTCGCTTGCGTCCCGATAGAGCGCTGCACGCGCATCCAAGTTCCAGGCCTGCAGCAGTTCATACCTCATGCGAATTCGGCCCACAGCAGTATTGCAAGCAGCTCACTGCACATACGATGCAGCCACAGCCCAGAACTGACAGAGCAGGCTGCGAGAGTTCTCACCAGAAGTATATGCCACTGCCAGCCCACCCAACACGAAAGGGCCTCTTCCCCGCCGCTGCCGCGGCCGCATCCACGTCTGCCCCCGAGCGGGCCACGACAATGGACGGGGGCTCGCTGCCGCGTGGCTGCCGTGCGTCTGAGCTCCCTGGCTGGCGCCCAGGTGGCAGGACTAAGCTGCCCGCTCCGCTGCTGGTGTGGCTGTTCTGCGGCCTGGTCAAAATCATGTGCTCTAGCTCCGCGCCGCTGGCGTCCGCGCTTGTCGCATGCACCTGCCGCTGCAGCACGCGGGGCGCCACCTGGCGCGACCGCCGCCGCTGCGCCCGACACGGCAGCGAGCGGTGTGACACTGCAACAGCGCCTGGAGCATCAGAAGTGGCGCGCGTCGCGCCTGCTCTCATGCTGCGCAGGTCCTGTGGAGATGGAGGGGGGCAGGGTGAGCTTGCTGTGCACTCGCTCACGGTGCACCAGCTCGAACAGCAACGCGCGTATGCATGCGAGTCGACTTCATCGCCCTGAGGCACGCACGCATACATCTGGGCCAATTGATGTACATGCGCATGCAGAGGCTTGCCGTAATCAACAGAGCGTGTGTTATTGGATGGGTGTGCCCGCATCCGTTGCAGGTGAGCGCGTCCCAGACAATGTGGCCTGGACATACAAGTTGTGAACAACCCCAGAACTTACCATGCTCGTCCTTGGACCAGTCGCGGTCTTTAAAAGGGCCGCTGGATGGACAGTCCTCTGACAGTGCGTTGTGTCCCTTTCTAAAGTAACCTCTTGGAGAACCGTGACTTGCAATTTGTTGTGTATGCAATCGAGGACAGTGAGCACTGCGCCAACATGGCGGTCTGCAAAGTTGCGCCTGATGACGTCGATGCCCGGGTGCCCGCTCAGTGCCCACATGCGAGTGCACTGTTGCAGCGGCAGCTTCCACGGGACGCTCCAAGGGTGCAGGACCATGATCACCTCCCAATCGATGGAACAGACTGTCTGATTTGGCCAACGAGCTTGCGGAGCTGCCAGTACCCCGGTCCTCAACAACGCCGACGCCAACGCAACGACAGTGTGTTCTCATATCACTCCTCCCTACCCCTCTTGTAATCGCCAGCTCTTCGCGCATGATCAAAATTCTGTAGGAGATGTCGTATTTAACAATCACACGTGAACATGAACAACCTACAGTAGTGGTGTTAGCAAGAAGAAATGGAAGCAGGCCCTCGCTTGCAGTATTGCAGGCATGCAAAGGAGGGCCCTAATCCTGCGCTACCAGCAAAAACATGGCTCATTCCCGCTTGCCGTCTGCGGGGCTGCGCAAGGCCGCGCCGGTCGCCTTGCCATACGCCACCTGTTGCTCCAGCAGCAGCGGCTCAGGGCAGTCCCAGGTGTCTTTCGCCGCGAGGAGTTGCGCAAATGGTGGCCAGCCCGCAATGGCAGCGTACAGATGCGCGCGCCCGGCTGCGCGCATGAGCAGGAACCAGCAGAGGCCCAGCAGCGCCCCGAGCGCCGCCCCCGCTGCGACCTGGTCAAGGGAGTGGTAGCCTAGGTACCTGCAGGGGTGAGGGTGGGCGCAAGGTCTAGGGCCGAGCAGGCAGCAGGTCGGCCTGCGAGGTGTCGCGCAACGGCGCGCCCACACGCATGTAGGGCTCTGCCTATTGCGCCATGGTGCGACGGTTCCTCCGAGGTCTCATGGCCAATCCAACGGCGCCATGCCTCGCCTCCTGCCCGAATCCCCTGGCCATCGCCGCCATGTACCCTTGCGATCGCAGCTCACATTCGGGAGACCGCCACCAGCGCCGCCGACATACCAATGCCCCCAAGCTCCAGCGCTGCCCATGCACGCGCCACCGGCCGCTGCCGCGGCGCCAGGCTGACGGCTATCGCTGACGTCAACACCAGGTAAGAGAACATCATCGCCGTGTGGCTGGAGGGCATGCCGTGCGCGTCGCACACGCCGAGCAGCGCGCAGCTGGCTTCCGGGCGCGGGGACTTGAGCAGGTGCTTCAGGCCTCGCGCCACAGCCTCGGTCAGCAGGAGGCCTATCAGCACCGCGCCTTCGTGCACCTCTCTGCCGAGGTGGAGGGGTGCCGCCCCGTGGTTGGGTGGGTGGGGTGGGGGCCGAGTCGGTTATCAGCGAGGTCGATATGAGGCAACCCGCGCCAACCGTCTGCTCTTCACGAGGCCGAATGGCGACCGCCACCTGATCTCAAAACAAGTGCGGCGCTCATGCAGAGACCCATGCCGCGACCGCGGCGCTCCAGCCCACCGTCGCGTGTAAACCTTGGCCGCCTGTCCACACAGCAGCAGCACCGGCAGAAGCGACGCGTGCGCCAGAAGCTTGCCCGGCAGGTCATTCCGAGCATAGTGCACGCACGTTATCTTTGTGTACGCCATCTGTGAGGACGCCATGGCACTGCTGACGGCCTGCTGAGGCACCTGTCACAAGATCAATTGGTACTGTATCATGTTTACCAATATGTTGTTAGTCAGCAACGCATTACTTTGGTTCTGTAGATTTTTCAAAAGTACAGGTGTTTAAACACAAGATCGCCTTGCAGATCACGCACCTCAATCCTCAAAGCGCGCCATTGACAGCCACGCTCCGCTGTGATGGCTTCAGCTGTGGTTGATGCAATGCCAACGTTGAAACCAGACAGCAAAAAGCAGCGGCGCAAGGAGGTACAGTGTGGACGCAGCACTCGGGCGCAACAGCAGTGTTGCACACACGCTGCGGTGCAGTACGGGCGGCTTGCACAAGTCGGCTTGATGAAGTAACGAGGGAGCAATCGTGCCTGTTGATGTGGACGGGTCAATTAGCGGATTGCCAGCACGCTCACAACCCGGTTGCAAACCCGCATGTGTGACAGGCGGCAGCCGAGCGCAAGGCGCAGGAGCAGGCGCTGCAGATGCTCGTGAAGGAGGCGGAGCGCGATCCAGACCCCATGCGCAGCTTCTCAGTGTTTGGTTCCTTTGCGCGGAACGGCCTGGACGCCCGTATACGCGCGCTCGCGGGCGCGGACCTGCCGCCGCCCCTCGCTGACTGGGCGCTGGCCCTTTGCCGCGACAACATGCAAGAGCTCTATCAAGGGGTGTGGGGCTGGAGCGACAAGAAGAAGCGGAGGCAGCTGATGCACGTGAGCAGGAACAAGCAGGGGCTTGCCTTGCAGGGGGTGCCGGCGGCCATGCGCTGCGCGTGCGTGCGGGCATCGACTCACAGTCAACCTCATGGCAGCACACCAGCCATGCTTGCGCCCCTCACCCTCGACACTTTGTCTGTATCATCAGGAATCTTCCCGTTTCGTGGTGGCTTTTGACGGGCCCGTTGCTGGCTTGGATGGCAGCAGCTGCGACGGCAGCGGCGAGGGGGGCCGGCCGCTTGCTTACGTCAACTACAGGCGAGGAAACCAGCGCGCCAGCAGACCACTGTCGCCAGGCCCAGCTTCACAGGCTGTTGCGCACCGCCCTTGCTTGGCGCAGCCCCGCCCGCCCGCATGCAGGCGGCCGTCATGCCTGTCTCTGCGCCCCCCTGCAAGCTTCTGGTGAGCATGCCATAGCCCTTGAGTGCCGCAACTCACTGGGGGGCCGACCACGCGGCGCTGCCGCCCGCTGACGCTAGGTTTGAGGTGGAGGAAGGGGAGCCGCTGGCGTACTGCTACGAGCTGCAGCTGGAGGGGCGCGCCCAAAGGAAGGGGCTTGGAAAGCACCTGATGCAGCTGCTAGAGCTAATGGTGGGCGGGCGGCTGATGGTGCGGCGCGCTGTGTGATCCTCTTTGATGCTCTCCTGGGTCGGAGGTCCCTGAGAATGGACAAGACTGAGGCAGGGTGTTGCCAGGGGCGGGTACATACGCGCGGACAGCAATGGCGTTGCGAGGGGCGCGCACCGTGGATTCTATGGGCGTGCTGCGACAGCAGGCGGCGAAACCGCGACGGCGGATGATGAGCGGCCTGATTCGACCTGGGCGGCACCGGCTACCGACCTACGCCCTGGCGGCATGCGCGACTGGTGCCATGTCCCAGCCGCGAACCAGTCGCGTCCACCCAGAACGTACTGACCGTGTCGCCTGCACGTGCTCTGCGCCGTCCCCTTTGCACTCGCCCGGCAGGCCGTGCGCTACGGAATGCGCGGCGTCATGCTCACAGTGATGCGCGCCAACGAGGCGGCAGTCGCATTCTATACGCGGATGGGGTATGCCGAGCACGAGACGTCCCCAGGGATGGCAGACCCTGACGAGCGCACGGGCTACATCATTTTACACAAGCAGCTGAAGCCCCGGCGCACGGCGGCGGCGGCATCGGCAGGCGCAGCAGCGGCGGCGGGCGGGGCCAAGGATGGTGCCCTGGGAGCGGGGCCAGGCACAGGGGTAGCTTCAAAGAGCAGAGGCGCGCAAGCAAAGTAACAAAAAAATGATTTGTGTGTTGCTGGGTGCGTGCGAACTGCACGTGTGTACTCGCCCTTGGCGTGGAAGCCGCTCTTCCTCTTGCCCGCTTGCCCCTTGCGGTATTGGGGGCCCAGGCGCCGGCTATGGCAAGTCATGGTGCACATGCAACTCTGCATGCAACATGTAAGTCACGTTGTTGCTTCTCTGATTTACAACGTCCGTAACAAGAGTGACGCGGGCACCTCTCCTGCCTTCCGACCCGCAAGTGACAAGGGGTGACAGGCCGGGCAATGCTGACTCCGTAGCCATCCACACCCATCCCA